ATATATATATATATATATATATATATATATATATATATATATATATATATATATAATTTTACTCATTTCATCATATTCGCTCTTTCTTTCGCATTATCTCACTAACTTTCCATTTCTTTCTTCCATTCTCTCTTATTCGAACCAAATAGAAACAAACAGCGATACGCTGATTATTGAGCGTGATACTAATTAATATTAATAGTAAAAATAAAAAATCAACGCACATCTGTTATTTACAGTAACTACATATAGCATAGCAATACACAAAAGAAAAATAGCAACACACAAATGTTTAGCATCGAGCTGCAAATTGTTGATCAGTCGAAAAAATTGTATAACATAATTACTAAAAGATTAATAATAGCTTACCTAGTACTTTCCCTATTTTGATCGCTGGTCGCGTACGATCTGTCTCCTACCATCATAAACTCCTCGAATGACGGCATTCTCCTTCTGGGATTCGCGAAGTTCTCCCTCATGCGTGAACGTTCGGCGAATTTATCGGCCCAAACGTCGTGATCGACTTTTTTGTCTCTGCCGAAACCGTCAACTCTAAACTCTAAGTCCCTGTTAATGTCTCTGTTGATGTCCCTGTTGATGTCCCTGTTGATATCCCTGTTGATGTCCCTGTTGATGTCCCTGTTGATGTCCTGATTGGCGAGATTCTGGTACTCGTCTGCCGTTACCAAGGTATACCTCCGCCTATTCTGCTTAAGGATCGACTTGAGGCAGAAATATGTTTTTGAGTTTGGCAGCTTCCAGCAGGCCTCGTTCGATATCGGGTTCACGGTGATTCTGCTGCGCGCCTCGGTCTTCGGAATGGCGCCTTTATTGTTCATATACGCCCTTCTGGACACGCTCTCCTCGTCGAGAGACAACGAACGGGAATGAGAAAGCGAGGGTGGAACGGAGCGCGGTGTCCACCTCTGATGTCCAGCAAAGTGCGGCCTTTCGTTAGGCAAGTTTGCCTGCGCATTGACGCAGCCAGCTCTGCTGCTCCTCATCGGCTCCTCCTCGTTCTCCAGGATGTTCCCCAAGCTCTTTACGTTCTCCTTCGTGTATGCGTTCGTTGGTTCCGAGCGTAGCCGCAGGTTCGGCTCGGAAATGTTGCAAGGTATGGTTTCCTTATCTCTCTTGGACGTCACACCGGAGATAAAGTCTGCTGACGAGGTCTGCGAGCTTCTGCCGGACTTGGTCTTCGGCACTTGGTCGCGCGACAGGTCGTCCGAATTGATCGTCTGTGTGCTGGTGGACATCCTTCCGCAACTGCCGCATCTGCTCGGCGATGCTCCGCTCTGCAAGTTATCCATGGAACGAGGCGTTCGGTTCTCGGCGGGACGCAGGCGACCGTCGGCTGTCGTCCGCAGCGTCGCTATCCGGCTTTCGAAGGTGTCATCGTCGTTCACTGGCGGTGGTGGGCTGATAGGCAGGTGTTCACTGCTCGTCCTGATCTCGATGTAGCTGCGCTCGTCCACTCTGATCTCGTAGTTGTTCGCGTTGCTGTGACAAGGACAAGGGCAGTGATACTCGCATGGGGTCGTTAGGATCTGCTCGCTCGGGTCCTCTATGTTGCAGGAGGTCGTCGCGTCGGTCGAGTTCGTGGCGACGTTCATGACCACGTTTTGCTGATTTAATTGTTCCGCTCGCTCGTACAGAAGCGCCTCAGAGTAGCTCGGCACCATGTCCGTTTCCACGTTCGCTTCGTTCTGAGCACCTTGCCAGTTTTCTTGGCCATGCTCGTTGCTGGGCGCTGGGTCCATCAGCAACGCCTCGCTGTAACTGGGCGCCAGCATGTAAGAGCCTGGTTGACTGAGTTGGCTCATGGACGCATGGATGGGCTCGCCGGACGTTGGTGTGTCGTAATTTACGCCGAAGAGCTTTGTGATCTGACAGACAAATGTTATGTTTATAATTGTGGACTGTTCTTTTACCATTAATTTGTACAAACACATTGCGTTTAGACGGAGTTCGCGGAAATCAATGAACGTGAAAGAGTTATTAATATTTACCTGATAGTCGACGTATTGCGTCTTGTACTCTATGATCACTCTTAACGGCCAGCTGAGCAGCAAGGCACTCAGGCACCAGTAGACATATCGGTTCGTGAACCAAGGATTGCCGAGAACGGCGACCAACATTGTGGAATTGACATTGTTTCCGATATCGAGACCTTCTCTCATCTCCAAGTAGTCATCCCTGAGTTCCTGAAAAAGTCGTTTTATATTTAGATGTGTATACATATACGTGTCAATGCAGATATATGTGGGAAGTCGAAGTTAAGGAGTTTCAACATGATGACCAGTGCTAGGAGTTTCAACATGACCAGTCGCTGGTGACGATCTTGCAAAGCTATTTTTTGCAATCAACAACCAAAAAGTTATCGCTCGTAATTGTGTTTTCGTTCTTACCTGTTCGGCAAAAAATCTCGATCGAATCTCCTCGAATTCAGTGGCGGAGGTCATGTTTGAGAATGCGAAGCCTTTGGTGAGCATGATCTTCGTGATCGGTATTTTCGCTCCAAGCACCAGGTCCTTGCTGATATCCTTGACGCCACAATAATGGTAGTAATAGGAGGAAGTGGCCACATGTGTGTTCACTCTTTCGTAGTAGACCTACGGAGCGGGAGGGTGAGGCGGAAATACGTTCGGCACGTCCTTCACCCTTCCGCCATCTGTGACGTCACTGTGACTGTGTGTCCGCAGCGTACAGAAATGGAATGTCCAATGATACCGCGATTCTTATCGAACTAGGTAACTAACGCCTTTGAACGTCGATAAATTTTGTATATCCGAGAGATATTGCTTCTTAAATTGCTTAATGTGTGTACTTTACGACCTGACAAAAATGCAAAATGATAGAGGAGTTGTATTGAGTCGATCAATGAAAATCATACAGAAGATAGCTTCGGTTAGATGTTGAAAACTATTCACTATCTATTCACAATTGTTGCGTTAATCTTCTCTAACTTCTTCTTGAGTACCTTTCGGAAATTTTCGAATTTTTATTGTTCTACATTCAAGAAAAGATGATCTTGCAATCGCAGCGAAAATTATCTAGATATGGGAAATTAGCTAAGATGGATAAATGATTAGCAAACACTGCGATATACACTGCTATTTGTAAAATTGAGCGAAAAAGTCTCTCTGTGGCGCTCATCCAGATTAAAGCTAATCATACTTGTTATAAAAGTGTCTGTGGTAGAAAAAACTAGCGACAAAAAACAAATGCGAATAATCCTCTTATCTATTTAAATTTACTTGTAGATATTTCTAGAATATTACTGTTGTAAATTCTACATATCACAGGGTAGTTGTATACAGATATACAGGAAACAGCGATAAATCTTGCTGTGATATTTAATTTAAGCTGTGATATTTAAGCTGTGACATTTAATATTCTAGCCGGATCAATAAAGCATTTTTTTCAGTGAAACCGGGCTTCGACGAAACAAGATTTTATTTCCAAGTTCTAACTATAACCCGCGTCAATATTTGATCCGATTCTCTCGAATATCTAGCCGCACGTGTTGTATCGCGCAGACTTCAACTTTAAGTACTTTCTCAGATTACGCCCAGCAGCGGAAGGATTACAAGGTGGCAAACGTCTCCGACAAAGACCGCCGAAGTAACGAGATACGTCACCTGCGTGGTGATATAATTATCCCCGTTCCTGTAACGCGTGATCTGCCGTTTCCTGCGCGCATAGTGGTAGGAAACAGCCCTCCACCATATAGTCGGCCGTGCCATTTTCAGTTGCGTCAGTTTGGATAGTACACTGTCCTGGCTCTCGGCGTGCAATAGATCGATTCTGATAGGCGAATGGTAGCACTCCACCAGATAAACTAGATATAGCATTCCCATAAATGCCACCTATGGGACAGAGACACGAGAGAGGGTGACAGAGAGGAAAAGTGAAGGGGAGCGGAAGATAATGATGAGGGTGAGAAGAAACAAAGATGCAACAGTCGGCTGCATGCATCCAGATGCGCGTGAAAATGAAGATAGAAACGTGCTGATGTGAAGCAGTAGATGCTTTCCATTTGATTAACATCAAGTTGACACGAGTCGACTTCCAGTTTAACCGCCAGAACAATCAAATACAGCAGATGACATAAATTTCATTTAGAGGACCTAGATATGAGAAAAGGTGACGAGAGTGAGAGAGCGAGGTGGAAAGAACGAGAAAGTAGAGAAGAGACAATGATAATGATAAGAAGAAAAAAATGACAATAGTCAGAGTGGTATTGAAGTGTTTGAAAGTGAAGAAAGGGAATAATTGATGTAAAGAAATAGGCATTTTTTATTTAGTAACAATTACGACATAAGTCGATATCTGTTACAAAATAGAAAGCAGCCATTTTACATCACCTCTTTCCTTTGTTCACTTTTACGCATAGTTGAACGCATGTCATTGATTATTGTCCCTTCGCTTCTCTCATCATCATCGTGTCTCTCCCTCCGCCTTTCCCCTCTTCTATGTCACCCTCTTTCACGTCTCTGTCGGGTAGATGGCATTTATGGGAATACTCTGTTTTGTATGGCGGATAAACTAGAATTTATGTTAACTTGCGTTATTAAATGGAAAAAAAAACTCAATGAGCTAAAGAGGGGAACGACTCTCTGTCGTCCGCGTGTTTCTTTTACCTCAACGTACGTACCGGAATGTATATGTAGCCCTCGTCGCAGGGCGACGTTATGTGCTTCGAGCTTCTGATGGGGAACTTGGCATAGTTGACCATGAGCTAGGGAGTAGAAAATAGGGGTGAGAGACTTTATTTATGGGATTTCGAAAAGAGAGAAAGGAGGAAAAAGGAGAAGTCCCGCGAGAGATCGACGATTGCGCACATACCTTGGTGACGTTAGTGCATCTACACCACGTTACCGCGGCGATGCAGATGTAGATCAGCAACGACAGCAGCAGGCATTTGCAATTCGGCTCCCTTTGCAGCGCGCCGCACAATGTCTGGGCGATCGGTCGCTGCTGAGAACGGTGAAAGATTAATACTGCAGGGTCGCCGGCCATTTGGAGAGCGAGAGCTAGCGCGAGAGCGAGCGTTCGCGCTCATGGAAAAGTTAAATGTCCGGCGAATAACACGACGTCCAATAAATCTGCCGAGTTCACCTCGGAAACCTTCTTACATCGCGCTCTATACCAACAATAATAGCTCTTTATGTTTTAAACACTAGACACGTTCAGTCCGTTAATAAAAGTTGCGAATGTTCCGCTTTGTAGCGAGGTTGTCTCGCAACGTAAACGATGTGTCGCGTCACGTGCACGTGTACGGAATGTTATTAAAAGGAGTGATCAGAACTTCGCAGGCTTGAGTGGTACTCACTAAACTAAATAAAAAATGCTCACAAGGGAACCGTCGGAAGTGTCCCTCGATTTTGATTTGGCTTTGGATATGTCGCAGAGCAGCGGAGAACATATATAGTCATACTATCGAACGTCAAACACATAGTCATACTATATTTCGTCAAATATATAGGTAGCACATGAACTATCGGTTTACCTTGATAAATAACACCCACCCCTAAGCCTTTATTCTGAACGCATGTTTGGCATTAAAAACTTGGCCATCTGAAGTTTCATTTTTCTCACATGCATGGTAATGTAATTTTTCAGCTTGAGAATTAGAAAAGACATATTTGCGTTATGCGTTCAAAATACAGCCCCTAGACAGACACAAGATAGATGAACGACAAACGAACATTTCTCGCGATATTTTATCAACGTACTTCCTCGTTTTCCCGATTCATCATGATTGTACCAATCTTGAACTGGATGATTATTCGCCGTCAGGAATGAAACTGCGTTATTTCAGCGTCTTCCGCCACCCTCTTCGTTTATTTCTCGCTAAATTGCCAGCTTTCTCTCCAGCAATCCTACGGCAACAAACCACCACATTGAGCCTGTCGTCGAAAATGTTTATTTGGTCTTTGAATGACCTCAATTTCATAACGCTTGCGGGGTAAACGCGTGATATCGGGATATTGCGTCAGCGTATCTAATGGACAACCTCATCGGTAGGTACAATATCAAAGAGGATTTTGCCATCATAGCAAAATCGTCGTTATTAGCACGTATTCATAAGGACAATAAGAGAACTTGGCAAATATACCTTGGCAAATCTAACTTGGCAGATATACTTAATTAGGTTCGATCATCTTGACATCGACGTATGTTGTCAAGGCCATGTCCTTGGGTGAGCTTCAAAAGGCATTATATATGTATAACTGTCGTTCAATATCCATCAAAAAGATATTAACAAATTACGTGGATAATACAAATAGTAGTTCCTCTCAAATGTCCCGGTTAGAAATCACGAAGGGAGGTTGTTTCATCATTGTTATGAGAGAAACTTTATCATTACATTTGTGTTATTGAAGTATTATCGGTCGGTCACGTGCATATAAGAATAGTGAACGTGCAGACGACGGAGAGAGGGAACTCTCCCACCCTCTGTGTATCCCCACTCCGAAAAAACCTAACTTAACTTAACCCAACACAACCTAGATTACTATTTATAGTCATGTGCTGTCTGTACAGTATTTATACACGATGTTGTTGGAATATTCGCTGCAAACAGTTTTCTCAAAAATTCTCTAGATAGATTGTAGGTAATTAAATGCATGCTTTAAGCATGAGAATAATAAGCGACTTTCTGTCAGTAAACATTTGTTTCAGCAGTAGAGATTTCATTATGATACAGCAATTATATTGTTAAGAATAGAGATTATTTCCAGTTTATAAAGCATAGATTATCATGGAAAGTCAGCTTTGCTCAGAAACTCTTCAATTTCATTTCAACTATTTCAATTGTTTTATCACCAATAAAACAGACCCTGCTGTGTAATATCGAATGATTCCTTAAATTACACAAACAAAATTCTTTTGTTGTCCTTATTAGCAATGACGCTTTTGCTGTGACAGCGACGAAGTTCTTTTTCTCCGCGATATTGATATGCTAATCGTCCGCTCGGAAATGATTCATGTCAGCGCTTTTATGTCTCCCTTTGCATGTCACGACACGGAATTTTATCGCGAAATTTATCGGCGCTCCTGGTCTGGAATATTTTATCTATTTTAACGGAGTCGGGGGAGGTGTTCCCCAAGGTATCCCGCTTTGCATCTCGAGGAAGAATTTTTTTCGATTTTTTCAGAGAATTTCGCATGACAAATGACTTTTTCCACCGAGTAATAGACGTTTCTTTCTTATTTATTACGTCTTTCTCTCATAATTTTCCAAATTCTTGCACGATATCAAAAGTCCCAAAGTGGAGATGAAACAGCCAGTAGTTTTCGGCACGTGTACATGTTTCTAGCGATCCGCGCATCGTAGCGTGGACATGTACGCAACGGTGCGAAATTAATCCAGTGTCATCTAATGCTTGTGCGCCGCTTTCGATTACGCGCGGTATTCTATAAAAAGCCTCCCCTATATAACGACGCGCAAAGTGCATTCCAGCAGTGGCTATGGAACGGCAACGATGTACCGCGCGAAAAATTCTCGGCATGAAATCGTACATTCGACCGACGCGGAGTGTATGCGGACGCTATCGAAGCATCCTCTCCAGCGAATTTAATCACTGAATCGAGTCAACAATTATCACTTCTGATTACGATCGTTGCATCGACACCGGACACGCGATTTCCCTTTCTCGGGCTTAAATTCGGAAGCGAACAATCATTTAGCGTTTGAGAGCTTTTGTCCATCGATTAAGATACGTTTAAAAAAGTATACTTTTTCATATGATAAAGATGAGGTTACGAGATACTGAGATGCAAAAAAAAAAATAAAAAATACAAAAAAAATTTAACGTAACGAGTAGCATCGTTTATTGCAGCGCAAAACGCGAGACTCGCGTTCGATCAGCAAAAACTCCGCGATGAGACGTGCGATCAGCTGGCGATACCGCGCCAATCCATTAAAAGTACACGAAGGCTAATGCGCGTATCGTGCAATCATCATGCAATCGCGCCCTAGCACACCATCATACGATTATCACTCTTTACCGTCAGTTGGGGAGACACCTTCGGCGCACGACGAACACTGCGGGCTGGCAGATTACAGGACAGGATTCTCCCTATTGAACGTGGATGGACGGACGAAGCCTGCGGGATGCGGATGAGCGGTCGACGAGGGTGGCAGCTATCGAGTGACGGTGTGCTCTACACGATCACGTCCCCGCGGCACCCTCTCATAGCGCGTCACCACGACACATAGGTGCAGATTCATTCTCGGGGAAGGTGTTGCGATCACAACTGCCAGCAGCGTTCGACGATGTGGCGGTGCCCCAACTGACGGACGGGGTGGCCGACGCTCGGCGCTGATGCCGGCGGCGTCGGTGGGGATTCTGCTGGCGTTTCGCGTCGCGTCGGCGTCCTGCGCGCTCGTTTACTTATATACAACTCACCCCCTTGGCGGCACCGCCCTCGACAGCCGCGCTTTTTTCACCCTCGAAAGCGAGAGCGGGACTATCCCGGAAGAAGCGTCGTATAATCATCAAATTTTACGGCCGGCGGTGTGTGTCAAGCAGGAGGGAGCGCTGCGGCGAATTGCGGTAGTCCGGGAGGCGGAATTCTCCGGGTCGTAGGGCGTTAGATTTTTCAGTTGCACGAGGACAACGAATTTTCCGATCGCGTGAGAAAGGACGGCAATATTAATAACTAGGGCAGTTTGGAGTCTCGCGAGAGGGTGGTGCATTTCGCGAGAGCACTTGAGAGAATTTCAAGTTGACGCATCAAGTTATGGTTGAGAAGTACTCGAACAGTTGTAAATGAACGGATCCATTTTTAAGAAATATTAAAGATCGTATATTTACAAAGCTCTTCTCTATACGTGTAGCACTGGGGAACTTTTCTTGGGAGAAATGCTCTTTGTGAGTAATGTCCTCGATAGATCAGAGGAACAACGTCAGGGCCAGGCTCGTTATGCTAATGTTAGTATATATAGTGATCATTTGCAAACACATGGCCGCGATAACATTCAGACGTGTATAATACGAGTTTGCATGACCGCCATGCAGTCTTAGATAAAACTTAGAGATGGGATCGGTCACGCTTGTCAATTCGAACATGATTTTTCCATTTTATGATGGATATTATTATTGAGTAATATCAATGCCTATTGATATATTTTTCACATTATTCAATTCAAGAGGTAACACGAAGGGAGTGGTGGAAAGTGAGAAAATGGAAATCAATGTGATTTGCTGTGACGCATTATATAAATATAGTATAATTAAACTGTATGAATTCGGGTGAATACTAAACATAACTAATTATTTCATTTGTAAATTAATTAATTGATGTAATATTTAAATCTTATTGACAAGTTTTTTTTATAACAATCTTTGGATATTTAGGTGTGTGCAATAGAAAATTTCTAGTAACACTATCTAGTAAGTCTCAGAAGATCAAGGGTCGGCAGGAGTGATAAACAAATTTGGAATTGACCTTGGAGACCTCGTGCGGTTGGAGCGAGGAACTCTGTATTCAGGTCCACCAACGTCGAAACACAAAACACCGTATCTGTGTGTATGCGTGTGTATGTGTGTGCACATACACGCGTAAACACCAGTAGCGCACCGCAGGGAAATTAGATAAGGACTGTCTATCGATCGTTGTCCTCGTCCTTCTCTCGATCTACCGTTGCACGCACAAAGCAGCACGGCCTTTTTTATGTCTAAATAAATATTTCCCTTCTCTCGCCCCGTTGTCCATGTATTGCTTTACTCGTAAGTCTAGAAGAAAATTCTTACAAAGCTCTCGGGCGATCTCTCGAGAAAACTCAGCATCTCTCAGATACATCACGCTGGACCGCGCTGCTCACTCGCAACGTTACTTTGCCCTCACCGCTACTTAACGATTTACATACAATTGATATTTATTAATGATCTTAATAACTTTATCTAGGAAAATATTGCCTTTATTATCTTCATACTGTCTTCGATATTAGAGGGTTGCAGGAAAGCAAAATTGGCATATCTCACAAAGTTTTAGCTTGTAGCACTTTAATTATCCATATTGCACATGGAATATTGTATGTTGAACGTTAGTTAAGTATGAATTGTATGAACGTGGAGTCGCGAAATGTTGCAAATTAAACCGAAATTGATTATCTGCAGGCATATTTCATCTTCATCGATGCTACAGCTCGGAACAAAGGCGCATTTTGGCGCCGTCTCGACGGCTATCTATTGATTATAATTTGAGACGAGATGGTAGACGTGAACAAGTGCGCATGTATCTCGAAGTATCTGGACAGTAGGCGTCTGTATGTGTGTGTGTGAGAGAGAGGGGAGGAGGAAGAAAGGAAGAAAGAGAGAGATAACTGTCCATGAAAAATAACCGGATGCATTAGTAACGGAATATATCAGCTAATTGTTATTATTAGTATTGTTCGTCGCAACGTCATTAGCTTAAACGAGAGTTTCCAACGCAGATTTATCTCACGATATGTTACGAATGTATAATTCGCTTCACAGAGAATTGGCTTTGTCGTTGAATGAATAGAGAGTTCCATTATGCGAATTATTTCCTCTACTCAAACTTTCTATTATCCGAATGTAATAGCGAATATCTTCGTGAAGGAATCTCTTTCATTGAGACGGGAACATTGCGCGCGATCTTAGCTTCCTTAAGATGAATACGTGTGTGCCTCCCCGACTTGGGAGACACCCGAGGAATTATAAAAAGGACGCGGATGATTAGATGTGTGAGAAGAATGGAATTTCGCGCAATTAAATTTGGTCAAGGACGTATGCGATAGTAGATGTGTAAAGTACTTTTAATCCATGAACTTACATATATATATAAAAGTGTCTTCTTACAAAAATTTCGAAAAAAGTAACATTCAAGGAAGATTAGAGTCCCTTTCCACCACACAATGGGGTGAAACATCCAAATCTTATATTGTCAATTTCGGTATTTTGTCAACTTCGATCATTAATGTCATATCTATTATAAATGCATCAAAAGTATCTAGCATACCTACAAAGATCTTATAAAAAATGTTACATCTGGAAACTGAATTGAACAGTATTTTATTGATATAATTAATGGCACAATTTAACTGAACAGAATGTAATTTAACGTGTCTTTGACGGAACACGCTCTGTATAAGTCTACGTTTCAGTTACGTCGTTAGGTGGCGTCATTACGTTGCGAATAGAGTTAGAGAAAGAGGTAAAGGGCGATCCGAGAGTGCTAAATGGAATTCTCGATTCCTAAAGATCGTTCATCAAATCTTGCGAAATCTCATGAATTTTTCTCGATATATTTCATTCATTTTCGATCTCTGAATCACGCGACCGATTTGCGTGCAAAATATTGTTTATTGATAACGATTAACAAAGACGCTCTTCAAACAGATAGGTCCGCTTTAATATTATTTATGAAAGCGCCGCGGAAGATCTAGGAAACTGCTTCGACACCCTTTAAACGATCTGACCTTATTTTTTCAAAGCAATCAATAGGCAAGGGTTCTAATAAATACTTGGGCAGATCGATAAGCAAGCAAGATCAACAATGTGACGCCTGAGTAAATTTACGACGAAGTAAGTGCGCACACATGTGTGTATGGTGTAGATGTATGAATTTCTATCTTCACAGGTTGTCGCTTTTGCTTTCTCGTGCTTCTTATGTAATCTGCGGTAAACAATATCTAACAAACAATTCTTTACTCGAGGAAGTGAGAGTAGTTATGTCGAGGAAAGGGATACTGATCGCGCTGTCTCGGCTAAACATAATTTCACTTTTTTGGAACCCTGCCAGAACCGCATTTTGTCTATAGACTGACCTTTCAACCATTCTATATATATATATATATATATATATATATATATATATATGTATACATACAGAGTATTCCACTTTAACAGCCGAATATTAAGGAAAATATATAGCATATCGTAAAATGCTTCAGATCAGCTCTGAAGGGAATACGCGTGATGAATTTAAATAAATAGAGAGTATTTTGTGTGTGTATAAAAAATTGATGTCATTGGTTTTAAAAATATTTTTATACAACACAAATATAGAAGGCGGAGAGTTCAGTACAAATTTGTTGTAGTTTTCACCAAAATCCAATAAGAGACATATAGCATATAATACAAAAATTATAATTAGAACAAAATTAAACTTAATACAATTATATTTTTATACACTATATTTGTGTGTTACCATATTTTGTTAACGCCCTCTGAAAAATATCAGGGAGAAGCCCGAAAGTAGTCAGCGTTTCTGGTGATATTGTTACATACGACTGCCTCGTGTATCATCTGCGCATGTTTCCAAGGGTGGTACTGGTCTGGTTGAACCTATTTTGCTCTACTGCTGGTAAAATCGTCATTTGCTAACGTTAATATCTTGCCATTTGACGGTATCCTTACAGAAACGCGTGAGTCGCAGCCTCGCGCGTCCATATTAATAATATGAAATGTATACTTTTCGAGCGGAGATGTTTTTCAATCGTGAAACTTTCTGATTTTATACTTCAGACTGGGATACTTCGATTCATAGGACATATGGGAAAGAATATAGATAATTTTCTCATCCAATTGAACGGTAGTTATCCAGAAAAAAATAAATAAAAGAAGAGAGAAAAAAGAAAACTATAAAAGGTTGTAAGTCAGACAGCATAAAATCTCCTGAGGACGAAGAAATGTCCTCAGGACTTCCTCAGGATATACTCTGGATGTCCCCTGAACATCTGTGCTGTTAGGGAAGTATTCGATGATATTTTTGAATGCTGAATGACTGAAAAAGTATGAAATAAATTAAGAAAAATATTTTAAGAAATTCTAATAACTAATCTAAACTGTTCTGTGTTTCTATACATATTTATTATATTCCATACAGCACAAGTGTCCAAAATAAATCCTAAAGACGTTCCAGAGAAGACGTTCCACACATCGCTGGAACGTCTCTGAGATGTATTTTAGACATTTGTGTTGTATGGAATGTTATTGATTGCATTCGCGAATCTGAAACCGGCTTTTTAACGGGGAGCGGGGTTGCACACGTGCTACACGCGTAAAGATAGAAAAAAAGACTGAAACAGTCGGCGGCTGCGCGAGCCCTCGAGTAGGAGTGGTCTGACTGCAGGGCGGACCTGCTCTCGGATGATAAACGACGTTTGTGGATTATTAGGATCACGGACTCCCGTTTGTGTTTGCTTTTCTACAATTTACATCTCTAATCCAGCCCGTATGTTTCGGCCGGGAACGATACCCTCGTTGAGCTGGCCCTCGCTCCGCGATTTCACTTACCGCGATCGTGCAGCGTATCTTTCTTCTGATCCCGCTGGAGGACACAATTATAACACTAAGAATTTTTATTAAACTACATATGAGCGTCTTTCTTACAAAGATGGATCTTTTTACCGCACGCAATACGTTGTGTATTTCTCGAGAATTTTAATACGTTTGCAAATCGGATTTCGTATCAAAGAAATTGTCCATTATTGAAATTACAACATTACGTGAATGATTGCGACGGATATTTTTCACATATTTTAAGTGTCTGTGTACGTCTTTATGCTCGAAATCCAATATTTTTTATCAAAGTAGTCTCGTAAATTAATCTTGTTATTCAGAGATGTGTCTGTATTTTACCACAAGTATTGTCCGCATTTTACGAAGTGTGAACTCGTGCATGGAAAAAAAGGTTTGGTTGAATTAACAAAATATCTGGTCGAATATGAACGATCTAGAAATTCCGATTGAAGTAACCCGAATTCTGTTTAAGTCAACCAAAAGTTTTTTTAACTTAGACAGAATTCGGGTTACTTCAATCGGAATTTCTAGATCGTTCATATTCGATCAGATATTTGGTTAATTAAACCAAACCTTTTTTTCCGTGTGTGTGATTTTAAATGAGATCCAATCGGAAAGTGCACGATTGTGGAGAACAATGTCGTTTTATAATGCATAGGCGGTGTCTCTTAAGAATTTTATTTAACCGGAGGGCGCAACACAAGGGCCCATCGGTTCAATTCGTCCAAACCGGCCCGCACTTAGACCCTTTTTCTTTCCCCCGGGGCGCAATAAATCAATCCCCTTAGTTCGACGAGAGTACCGAAGTAGCAGGTGGCTCCTGACCGGCGTTCGCGCCCTTAATTCCCAATTAATGTTATCCTCGATGTAAACGTTCGGCTCGCACGTCCCCTCTTGTTCTCGAGGTACGTACACGTCCGTGTGCATCAAGCGAGTTTTGTCAGGATGAGATGCTACAGTTCGACGAACTGATCTTCACACTACACAGGAAGACTGCAGGAATATTATGGGAATGTGTGATTGCAATAAAGTAAGTATGTTGTGAAATGTTGCTGCAACATGTACAATTCTAGCGGAAGTAAAGCGACCGCCCTGGAGGTTGATCGGGCGCGGGTGGTCGCCTCGACCGAGTTAGGAGCTATTGAATTATCGGTAGGACCGAATTTCACGGGCTAACGCCTCCATCTGGATAGTAGCAGGATAAGTGCGCTTAGGCCAGTGTAATTGACGCAATATCCCTGCTGACGTACTAATTGGCAGAAAATTGTCGGGGAGAACGCATCCGTCCATCCGATCCTCGTTAACCGATCGGCCAATTAAACCTTGATACTTCTCAAGGTATCATCTTTTACACTCACGACAATCGTGGAAAATAAAAATTTGAGGAGAAACGTTTGGACGTTCGTAGAAAAAATATAACAGCGTTTTATTTAATGTCGTTTTGATACACATTGTGTTGTTTCTTAGTGCGCATGAAAAATCCAATACTCGACACAAGAACAAGCTTCTTCCAATTTCTTGTGAATTTTTTTCTTGTTGTGCAGACGTATTATTTATAGGCATTTATGAGAACGATATTGCGAATTTTCGACCTTCGCCCTGAGACAAGTGCACATGGCCAGTTTTTTGAAAACTAATCATAATTTCATAAGTCGCAGACTATTCGTTATAATTTGCACTTTTTTATTTCATAAAATAGGAAATTTTTATCTAAACAACTGCATAACGGCCCGTGAATATGAATCTATAATTATGTTGTCAAAGATCGTTAATAATTTATAGCCATAAATATAACCCTAAATTATATTAACAAACCAATATATGTGAATTTTGCGCTTAAAGAATGTTGCTTAGGGTGGTTATGGTGACATTTGTTCCGTTGGCCAACGCTGTACTGTTTGACGCATCTATCGTTATGTCCCCGACTTGAATGAGAATTACGAGATACGTAGTTATTGAGCCAATTACCTGAACAAAAAAATAGATTATTTAACAATTTGACCTTTCATTGTAATAAACGTTTAAAGACGTTTTAATCTCTGGATGTATATTTTTTAGCGGGCTTTAATCTGTCTCTGAACGTTCCAACGTTATAACGTTATGCATGCGTATATAAAGCCTTATGTAAGTCTTACCGTTTAATTATAATCATGTAAATTAAAGAATAAAGTGTAGGATTAAAATGTAAAGTAATACTTAATCCTTTATCGGGCAAGATGAAAACTGAAGATGACTTATAAAAATAGCGATATCAAGGGAAGAAAATTGAAGTAAATTTGCCGACCTTTCACGCGATTTTGCGAAAGTGTAATATATCCTTGTACGATAAAGAGCTAGTGTGTGTATGTGTGTGTGCTTTGCATTTGTGAGAGGACTTTCTATTTTAAATCTCTATCGCAAAGTTCTAAATTACATGAATCACGACTTACCCCGTGAATGAATGTGTGATCGAGAGTGAAAAAACCGCAGGCTGTGAAGACTAACGGATTCTGTATCAATTGTAAAGTGAAGTCTCGTATCTGAAAGAAAGAAGTCGACGTTAGTTTCTGTTTCGGCTTCTTGCACAATATCTTTGTGCAATGCCTCGTGTTTCGTACTGAACGTAAAGTACGACGACAATAAACTTGCCTCCGCGCGGAATTCCTTAGTGGTGGACGGCTCGTATAGTTCGCAGATTATGTCACCCGTGTTGGCCGCCTGTGAAAGTTTAATGAGATTAAACTTAGAGTACTGATTACTGATATGTATTACGAAAAAGGTCGACCATAAATTTCACTAATGTGTGCTTTAGAAGAAATTAAAATTTCTACCACCGTGATTATTATAAATGTTGAGATCGCAAAATTTCAGATTTCTGAGGTAAAATTTTTCTATGACTTTTCTTGATCGTCGTGTTAGAGTTTTTAAATCTTCGATCAATACTCACCTCGAGGCTCGCTAATGCGCACATATGATTTATAATGAAGACCTTAGATGCGTAGAAAAGAGTCCAACAGGCGAATGATATCATCTCCTGCTGCATCTCGGACTTCGGCATGTCCATCCAGTAGATCTTGTAGGCATTGTAAAGGAGAGTGGTGATGAACACGAACGATACTGTCATAGAAAGGAGGATCTGTATGCCGTACGCTTCGTTCGCCGTCCTGATACATTTGATCAATTCGAGGTGGACTTGTCTTCGTTCGGCGTGGAAAAGACAGAAATCACGTTGATTAACGTCAGCGAAATTATTTTGATATAGCAAATTTTGCGCGTTAAAGTGCAAAGCGGAGCGACGCAAGATCGAGTAGATTTCTTTCTAGATTTCTAGATTTCTGTTTGACAATTTTGACTGGAAGTAAATAGTCTATGACTATTAGTATAGTATATAGTATTTATTACCATTCAGCTATTGCCAAGAAGGGGACTTGGTTTACAACATATAATCTTATCATTTTCCACATATCTATGCATTCATCTACATCCTATGTACTATGCCTTTCCCTGTTCATTCTCCCTCGTTTAAACTTATACTTAACCTACTCTTATCCTACTATCACACTATTACAGCCACAAAAATCTCCTCCCTCCCCTTTTTCTCCTTTCTTCCTTTAGCCCCTTGTCTCTATATTCTTACCTTTTTCTTTCTCTTTCTGTACTATCTTTACTTTCTTTCTTTTAACTTCCTCTCTCTTTTTTTCCACATCTTTTTTAGAATTTTACTTTTCACTTCGTCCAATTCATTATTCCATACCCTTTCTTTTCCCTCCTTTTATTCCCCATCCAATTCCCTCAAACCATTCACTCCCTACCTCACATGTATACATAATATGCTTCATGTCATCCTGATCCTTGTCACATAACACACATTTCTTGCCTTCTTCCTCAGTCCAATATTTATTCATCAACTCCATATTACCACACCTCAGTTTAACTAGAGCTCTTACCTCATCTCCTACTTTTAATTTATCCAGATTCCCCTTTACCTAAATATTTCGGGCATTTTCCCCTCTTTCTTATCTTTTTATACCTCTTGTTGTACTTAGCCTTCATAATCCTATTTTCCTCCCATTGTTTCTGCACTTCCCTTTCCTTTTTAATAATCTCTTCTTCTATTAGTCTATGGCTATTATGTACAACTAAAACTAAATAATCAAATGGACTGCTTCGACTTTAGGTCAATTACGGATCACTCAAAATGGGCAGTCAACATTTAATTGATAACCACATTTCTCTAAATTCATCGCTAAAATGAGTTTCAATAAATCACTGCGCTTCGTATAGAAATACTCATCACATGGCCATGCTATGGAGTTTAATTTCAAGTTGCGTTATCGTGCCATCGTGACCTTATGAAAGAGCGGTGCTAAATGGGCGAAGTACTTAATTAGTAGCTTGCTCGGAAATAAGTGCGTGATAGATTGAAATAAAAATGCGTACACGGAAAAAGAGATATAGACGACTAAACATAATTCACTGTGTTAACTACTTTTTCTTTGCTGCGGGAACCAATTTCCTTGCTAGGATAACAAGAAAATCTGCTCCTGCAATAAAAAAGTAGCTAAAGTAGTAAATTATGTTTAGTTGTCCATCTGTAGCAAATTTGCTGCGTTAGCCACTTTTCTTGCTGTACGAGCAGATTTTCTTGTTATCATAGCAAAAAAATAGCAGCAAAGAAAAAGTAGCTAACGCAGCGAATTATGTTTAATTATGTCCATACATGGCAAATTAGTTTGCTTCTGCAGTAAATCCTTTTTTTCCGTGCATGTAATATGTATATGTGCGTATGGATTTGTGTGCTTACGCGTGTTCTTGAGTGTGCGAAAGCCTTTACTCGCGGGTGCAACGGAGTGAAGGATCTCACTTGACGGCCCTCATCGTGTCGGTGTTGTCCTTGGTTCTGTGCTCCTTCTGTTGCGCGGACGAGACGAAGGTCTTGTTCCATTCGTCCTTCATCTTCAGCACCCTCTTGTGTTGCGGCGAGTCGGGGGTAGTCGTTAGCATGCGTTGCAGTAAACCGTTCAACTGCTGGAATCGAATCTTCGAATATCTGCGAGTCGATGAAAGGAATCAGACATAAGGAAACGGGCTATTAAAGAATCTGCGAAAAATAATTCTGCGCATAAGTTGTGTCAGATTTTCACTCGCGAGTGCTTCCACAACACAATTAAAGACATTAACATATTCATTATTTGATGTGATTTCCAATAATTGTATCATCGCTGAAATTACCGATGATAACAATAATTTCATGGTGAATTCGAGAGCATAGAGTAAGTGCGAATCGAATAATTATCGTGAATTATCATAGGATCATGAAGATTAGTTTGAGACGTGGAAAATATTAAATTAACATTTTCTTAACGTTAATGACTGTGATGACAAAACTCATTAACTATAATTAATGAACGTCGTTTATATTCACGCGACATCGTGGTGACGCCCACCTAACCCAGTGCAGGAACGATATATCGGCCACGTAGAGCAGAGCGATGGGATAATGGGCGACGAGCATGATGATGAATCTGATGTAAAAGGGCATTTTATCCTGTTCGACCATCAGGTTGTAGTTGAGAACAGTGAAGATGGTGAATATCAGTATGACCAATACGAACGCATAGACTTGGTACAAGTACATGTTGCGGTAATTCTTGCTCAATTCCATTTGCTCAAAGGCTTTCTCGCACATGGTAATGCGCACGTACGCGACCTGCATGATCTGTGAAAAAAGATGTCATTTTGTGCAACTAATATAATACAATCACAAATAAAAATCAGAGTGTTGTATAACTTGCGACTCTGCGATTCCAAGAGACGATCACGAGGAAATACGGAGGATTTAATCACGAGTTTGAGTCAGTTTGCTGAGCGATTTGAATTCGAGTCTTTTTTGGCGTAGGAAATCTCGAGAAAGAGAGATATTGTTGTTTATTGGAACTTTTCAATTCTCTCTCTCTCTCTCTCTCTCTCTCTCTCTCTCTCTCTCTCTCAAGATTGTATTTTATTTGTGACTGAAACCTCCCGTGTATCAGAACACTATCAGAGAAAATGCTATTTGATATTAATCGAGGACGAATATAACATTAAGAGGCACGTTCTCTTTCTTTCTCACTTATCATTTAGAACTACACTCAGCGCCCACCCATTTTCATGGAGGGAAATAGACTTCAAACTCATTAGAGAATCCATCATTAAATCGTCATAATCGCGATCGCGCGAGACCTTGTGTATGTCACATTTCTTATCGATTGGTCTGAGAATAGAAAACTTGAAAATACGACGTGAATGAGGCGTAACGAGTCTTTTGCTATGCTTTTTAATAATTGTATAAAGTCACAAGAATTAGTGAAGTTTTTCCAATAAAATGAAAGAACTTAATAAAGCCACAACAATAAATTTCTACGACGTGTCGGAGTTGATCGTGTTAGAATTCTTTCACGCAATCAAGTTTTCATCTTCTCCCGAGAATAACACTAAACCACATTGATCTCTTCTTGAGTTCTACCTTTATTCTCCAAATGCCGGTAAGAATGAGGCACAGCGTCATGGCGATATTGGTGTAAAAGATCGCTTGAAACGTCTTGCTGCTGAAAGAGTTCATCCTTTCATCGTAGTCCACGTACGACATCGATACCTTTATGAGCACGCCGAAGATGATCAGGCATAATATCGAGTAGCTGACGCCGATGACCTTCCGTAGAGTCGTCGAGCTGGGTAAGTAGCCCATTCCGATGATGAAGTTGACCACGATTAGTGGTGTAATCGCTTCGTACAGTGTTTTCGGCTGGATCATCCTCGTCGCTGACCGTGGGAATTCGTCTGCGTCCCGACGATACTCGAACGACACTCCTCGCTGACCTGCGGACTCTAGGATATACACACACGCGCACACGCACTGGCGTTTATTCGAGCGGCGTGTTGCGGTCACTTGACAGCTAAGAAATGAACGATGAGTATCGTGGCTGCGTGACTTGGCGTGTGCCACGTGCGCGCACCGTCAGGAATAATGGTGCCGCGTAATGCTGCTAAGTGCTACCCCCGATAAGTGGATGGCTGGAGCAAGTACGAACAGGTGGTGGCGGCGACAGCGATCACCCGCGACTTAAGTAGACGATGCCGGCGATGGTTCGTAGGTGATGCGCCTATGTGCGTCCCAAAGGATTCGTAATCGATATTTGCCGTGTGAGTCGCGCGAAATAGCACGCACTTCGTGTGCCTTTCATTCTCGCAGTTTTACACGCGACGGAGGCGTTCTACGGAATCTCTGATGTTTCCCTATGCATGGAACGTCAAGGTGTTTCCCCGAAAGTTAGGTGATTCGAATAGGATCAAGAGGCATTTTAGCTTTTCTCTGCGAATCTCGTGAGCAGAGAACGGTTTCGCGAGAGGAAAGTTGGTCTCTCTCCTTACTTCTCAGAATTAAAATATTAATACACCTCGACTTGTCCATATTTTGTAAAAGTGCTGTCCTGCATTTACGGAACGATCTTGCTTTTATGAAAATTGCATGACCAACAAACTGTTTGTTTAATTTGCCAACGCAAATCTAAAAAAATATTGAATATGACATGGCGATAAGGGAAATATGATAGAGTTGAATTACACAAAGTTGGCGTTAAATTGTGGTAAATAATAGCTTGTATATATGACAGTGTGTGCGATGTAAAAAAAGCGATAGGTATATTGGACGCGGATAGTCTTGTAAAGTGTCAATGAAACTGTGTAAAGTATCAGAGGCACTTCGTGTACCACTTCGTTACCTAGAAATACAAATGGAAATGCCTAGAATGCCCAGGAGGCTTCATTGGCGAGGTCGATGTTGCGCTAAGCTTATCTCGTTAACGACACAAGGTAGCTTAAAAATGCAACATGACATTAATAATGTAGACTTAGTTTGCATTAATAATTAGACTTAGTTCGATTTTTGCTTTCTTCGACGGCAAATCGGCCACTTCTCACGATAGAAATGTACGAACGTTGAAACTTCAAAGAGAATTTCATTCTGGACAAAATATTTCTCTAAGTAGACAGATCTTTTTATCTATTTAGATAGATTATGTTTTAAACACAAGATTATTTCCATAGATTAATCTAATAAGGGAGCACATTTTTCATGGATTGAGTAACATTGTAATTACACAACGTGTAATTATCGCGTAATTCGGTAGTAACATTATAATTCGTGAGCAAGTATTGTAGAGTTTGAGGGGTTGTACATTCCATTATGGATCTTGATAACGGTACGAACGTTGTAGCAATAAAGGGTAATGAATGGTAAAGATCAAGATGAAATGAATACATACGTTATGTAATAACATGTACTTTTTGAATACACGTTTATACAATCGTGTAACACGTTCACAGCTGACAGCTCCTGCCACAGTTAATGTCGTAATGAACAATCAAAGGATTGAGCTAAAGCTACATTGAGAACTGCCTTACTCGAATTTTTAATTGCAAAATTGGACGAGAAAAGCTGCGAAATGATTTACTTCCTGTTTTTCGAATTACCGCGTCGCTACTTTATGGTTTCTATTTTACAAAGATATATGTTTGTATACATACATACATATATATATATATATATATATATATATATATATATATATATATATTATTGATTTTTTATACACGGAGAAATCCTATAATATATAGTTACTTGTTATCTCTAATTACTTCTAGTAATTAGTCTCTCGAATGTTTTTACTCGACTCCAGCGAATTGCTCACCTGTATCATGATAACCAAGTAAGTCGTGACAGTTTTCAAGCACTGTGAACAGCAAAAGTGTAAATATAAGTCATCAATATTTTCGTGAGCAATATTTGTTTTAAATGCAGATCTACGAACCGTGCTTAGCACTTGGTAATTCAAGGAGATACCAAACGCGAAAAAATTCACCGGGCTCTGCGATATTTGAAGACCAAACTGTTGAATCTGAAAGAACTTGTCAATTAAAATGACGATTCGTAATTCGCGGTCAATTGAAATATTAACATTGCGAATAGACCTCTTCTTGTATTTCGATATCCTCGCAGAACTTGTAAATCGCGTGAATGATCTCGGTAGTTTTCTTTCCCTGCACGATGAATAAATGTCATCAATTTAAAAAATCACATAATATGTAATCAGGAAACGGCGCGCGGAACGACTCACCTCGTTGGTCGCATTCTTACAAACACGAGTTATAAAAATGATCTTTACAACTTCAATTATCCCCATCGTGATTACAACAGATGCTTCATCCAAGAAGCTGTTGTTATAGTTGGTTTTCTGTTGCATGAAATGGATGTACAAATTATATAAACTTCCAGTGATGTACATAATGGATATTGCGATTTCCGAAGCGATTTGCATGCCGAAGTTGCTGCACAACGTTTTTGATACTCTGCACAATTCCAGATGTACCTGTCTGAAAAATGTCCAAATGACAAAAGCAAATGTATAAGACATAAAACATGTAAAACTAATTTTATTTTTAGGTATAGCAACGGCAAATTCATGGCGGCTTCAAGATCGGTTTTTTCGCATTGCAAAAATTACAAAAGTAAATATTACAAAAAAATTATATTTTATTTATAGAATCTATACTGTTCCTCTTTATCTCTTTTATTTTAATATTTTACCATAATTTGTACTCACTTGATCGTTTGCAACAAGTGTCGGCGTTGTTGGCATCCTGCGTTTATAACGGATCTCCGGATCGAGTTATCCCCGGTTTGGCTTCCGGATTGACTCTGAAGTTCCATCTGGAACTGCTTTTGGAGTTGAGACGGAAGGCGAGACTGAGTGCGCGATTTCACAGCATTACGTTTTTTCAATATAGAACTTCGTATTCGGGACTGCAGCTGCCGATTCACCTGCGACAACACCTTTATAGAAAGAATGTGCTTGTGCTGCTTGGCGTCCATCATATTAGCGTAATCCTCTGCAGCAAAGAGACCCAGTTTCATTCCTTCCGTCGTTGACAAAGCCGCGCCTTCGCTCAGGAGTTCATTAACTAATTTGAATTTCATTTGCAGACATCTGCAATTGCAATATCAGGTATCGTTACTTCACTCTTCATCTTTTAATCGAAGGATCTAATACCATTTCTCCTCGCGTTTCTTTGCAAACGAGCAATGAGCTGAAACTTACCGACTACCAGCATGAAAAAATTGCACATAAAAAGCGACTTTATATATATTAATTTAGTTCTTAAATGAGTACTACTTTTTAGATATATTAACTGGTTAAGTGATTTTAATTCGAAGTAGATCGCTGCAAAGTCGGCCCACTCACTTCACGAATATTGTGAATTCCAAGACGACGATAAAACTGATGTTTATTCCATATATCTGATCCATCATTAGCCAACTCGTAGTTTCTGTATCCACGCATAATTGCAAAATCAGCACGATGCTTAAGATGCCGTTGTATAAGAACCAGATGATTATAATGCCGATCGTCAAGAAATATATTTCTCTGTAGCTAAACATTGATCCAAGTTGTCGCAATGTCTCGTCGACTTGGGCGATTTTTCTATAGCAGTCGTTGAGTCTCTGCGAACGCCAATTTGTACGGATAAATGTAGACGAAGCCTCTTTCTTAGGGGAAGGGACAATTTACTAACGCACCCTTCTATATGTTTTTCACGGTCGACTTGAACATAATTATACGAAGAAAATCGAAGAATCGTTATACTCACTCACCTTCGTGTAGAACCAACTAAGGACCATTTCACACGTGACGAAGAAAGCTTTCACGTACACCATTAATTGGTACAAGACATATTCCAGCTTTAACAGCTTGATGTGCGCGTAGAATTTATGCTGCTCGTTTGCAGCCACGCAGAAAATGCAGAATAGGATCAGGAGATAGATCAGGCTGAGCACGGTGCCTGATTTTCCTCGAGGATACTGAAAAGCACGAAGTCCTAACAGATACTTCAGACTCGTCAGCGACGCCATCGCGTCGGACAGGTGTTTCGGGGTAGCCGACAGTAGTTTCATCTCGAACAGCCTTTCCTTTTTTTCTTTGCACGAAAATGCACTCGCGATCCTCGATTAGCCGCTGGCGTGACGAGATACACGAAGTAAGAAATCAGCAGGCATGGTCGATAGATTAACTGCCGCAGAACTCATTCACGAATAATAATTCTTTCTTAAGATAACCAATCAAGAAGATCATCGAAGATCGCAGGAAGCTCAAATAATTCTTTTCTTTCCCACGGATAGTTCCTCGTAAATCTTCGTGTCGACTGCTCATCGCCCGAGGACAGAATAAGAAAGAGAGAGAGAGAATGTTTTAGAGAAATTCAGATGAAATCATTGATTGATACGTCACACACATTCGAAAGTGCATGCACTCGTCTCTCTTTTCTGATATTCAAATTAAATTAATCCATACACATACACACACACACACACACAAACACACATACACGATCGATGAAATTGTACAATGCATTACGTTTTATGAAGTTGTTCCGCAGTAGTCGACAGTCACGTCGAATCAGACAGCGATGTAACGCTCACTATTGTACTTCACTGCACTCCTCATTTGTTTTATAGGAGCACGTCGACAGTCGTCTATCCTTTGTCGAGTGGCTGAGAAGCGCGCGCGTGCCCATAAGTGATTATTACGACAAGCGGACGCGCGCTGCAGACGACTCGCAATGGTCATTGGAAGGATATATCGTGTCGGCAGAGTCAAGTTCCTGCAGAGAAAAGGGGTAATTCGTTGTACAAACACGCGCATGGCTCTCGTCTTAACGCGAGCACACGTATGCGTGTGTATGTGCAAAAAGGTGTTCGGCTCAAAGACGGCCGAACGATAATCACCGGGATGATAATTATAGTATACGTCTATCGCGCACGTAGACTTTTATTACATCGGACAATAAAGACAGACAGACGTAAATTAATTCAAAGGGGCGATCGCGCTTGAGATCGAATCGGTCTCGGTGTGTTTATCAGTTCGAATGTCACGTTGGTAGAAGATATTGTACTTCGCGGATCGACGCCGGTGTTACTTGACCGTATAAATCGGATAATAACTGAAGAATTACTTCGCTGCAAGATATATCAAATGTAAATATATGTATGTATTAAAATACGGCGCTACACAACTCTTCCATAAAGATAATTACATCTGCGTAGGAAGTTTCACGTCACCTTTATTCCCGGGGAATAGTCGAGTTATTATCTCCCCGGGCGAAGAGAAGTCAAAGGATCGCTGCGTATCGAGAAAAACATAATGTGAGAGAATTTCTTTCTCTATAATTTATTTCCCGCTCGAGAATATGATACGTCGCGTCGTGAGCCACGTGTCAATTGCGCGTCGCATCTTTTTAATTTAATTATTTAAAATTTAATATTACGTAATATCTTGTATAATGCAGCTAGATTATTAGTTAAGGATAAAGCGGAGCTTGATAGCATTCATAAAAGTAATTGATCACAAAGGAGAGGCGATTAATTGAACAGAAAAGGAACTGATAAATAAAAATTGTTTCTATCATTCGACAATAACAAAGTAAATTTTGTTTGTCTACAATCGACTAATTTTTTTAATCGATCTATCTGCGGAACAAACAAACGTACAATACAAACTCCTTTGTGTCATTGACTCGTGTCGCTATTGTCACATTCGTCTACTTGAGTCCCATTATAACCTTTTTACATAATTGTTGCGAAAGGTTCGTAAGATAACGTGGAGTCTTCAATATCACTTCAACGCGATAATAATATTATGAGTAGTTTATAAAGTTCGTTTTCATTATAATGTTATCTTCATCTTGCTCGTTCAGAATCAAAAATGGGATCCGCGCGACAGCAACGTCCACTTTGCTACATCGAATATCATAAAAGAGAATACAGAATTTTCGTGATCAATCTTATTTATTAATCAGGTCGGGAAAGATGTTGAATTCGAACACGTTGAGTTTGGACAGTTCACATTCTATCTCACAGAAGGGTTCCTTCTGTTCTAATCTATCCATTTATTTGCTCTCCTTACTTTCCTTTTTTTCAAATGGGAGAGCGAGAAAGCCAATTTCGTTCGCAAGGTAATCAATCTTGCGTGGATCTCAAAGCTAGATCGAATCGCGCGATTGCGCCCGAGAGGAGCGAGAAAACGACGGGAAACGAGAAGCTCGAACGAATCCAAGAGGCGACGATCCGTGAAGTTGGCCTCCTCTGCAATTCCATTCTTTTTCACTTAGCTCAAGCCGTGTAATCGTCGGCGATCGGCCAAACGGCGACGATGACGACGACGACGACGACGACGACTGTCGAGGGTAGCAGAATTTGGAAGAACGCGAAGGGGCAGAAGTCCCATGGGGGCAGAGTTGCTCGCTCCATTGTCCCGAGGTGGCTCACTAATCCTCGGCATCGAATAGGCTCGAAAGTATCGACGGCTGCAAGGCGATAAATAGTCACAAGAACGCGCAGGATGCAGCTCGGCATCAATATTGCGCCCTTGAGCGGTCATTTTCGAGTCGGACCCGTCGAACGACGACGGATTTCCGCGCTTCTCAGTTGACGACGAAGAAAGCTCAAGCTTGCAGAACGTGATTCAGGTAAGCGATGTAGCAGATCGCCAGGCGAAGTATCTCGATCTTCGAGAGCTTCTTGTCCGGTGGTAAGGTCGGTAGCAATTTCCGCAATTCCGCGAACGCCAAGTTGAAGGCTTCCACTCTGACTCTCTCTCTGTCGGAAGGTGTAGACAATAAATGTCGAAATTAACAAATAGATGTGAAAGTGTGAGCTGCGACGATAACAAGTGAATGTAGAGACTCTATGAAAATATTTTGAGTGTTTCAATAAAATTAGAGAATTAACAACGTAATTACACTTTATTCTACGTCGTCGTGCTCGCCTTATTGAATTTTAAATTAAAGACCGAGAGAACGTTGTAATTCCAGTTGAGAAGACAATCGACCTTCAAACGTTTCGATGAAAAATGAAATAGCCAGGACAAACTTCTACCCGTTCATTATTCACATTTACACGAAATTCTCCGATTCTGCGCTGATCGCGGCCTCACCTCGTGGCATGTGCGGTTCGATACTTCTGGGTAGCTCTTCTTCTCCTGCGTCTCTCCTCCCTCGACAAGGTGCCCGAGACAGGAGCACCTACCCCGTTCACGACAACGCCGTGGCCGCCGTTTGCCATCGAGACCGCCCTGTCCTCGCTCATGAAATCGCAGTTGAAGCTCTTCATGTGCTCTGCGACTCGAGGATGCTGTTTTTTTTTTCAAGGAAACTCGTTGCGGCGCGTCGTGAAAGATTCTCCTCTCACCTTTATCGCGACAGAAGATTCAGCTCGCGGGACGCAACTGTTCGAAACGCAATCTGGTGTTCCATCTGTCACGTGGCTGAAATTACGGACCAAAAATAAAACAGCCAAATAGAGTTTCTTAATTGTCTTCCTGTACATGTGTTAATTTTAGCCTCCTGCCTTTTCATATTTATCCCGAAATGTAGACTATCGGTGAGAAAGTGTTATTAATGAGGGTATAATTATTCACAACTGTCGCGGAAATTTCACGATTCTTCCCTAATGCGTTGGAACTTGAGTTTGTAATAATATTGTACGATGTATATAAATAATAATATACGTAAATAATCAAATTTATCGCGGCTGGGTGACCTCGGGGAATCGAGAAATATGACACAAAAGGGTTGGCTTTGTGTTTCCGTACATCGGCCCTTTGTTCGACGATAATTGACCAGTCAAATATTTGTCGAGCAGCTCACGTAACAGAATTATTGCCGCGAAAGAGGATAAAGACGGAAACTCGCCGAGTTACTCGCAACTGCCGAAGCGGAATTTTACGCTAATAACTCCTCCGGATTCTTGCCACACGTATAAAGAAGAAGAGGACGCGAAGTCGCGAGCTCATTTCCGGGGTTACCCTAATTCCGTTGCGTTTCCGCTCAAAACGATCGTTTCGACGTCGATTTGTGGGAAAGGCGTTGCATAATTGACAGCGAGACGCAGTTCGCGCTCCGCGTAAACGACGCGTTCTTCATCAAGTATTGACGAAAAACAACCCCGGAGTCCCGTTCGATCTGATTCTCAATGGTAAACCAGCGATTTGTATGGACGCTCACCTCCGCGTCTTTCTTGAATATTTTAGAGAGAATCGCCAGATTTTTCGCGCGACAAGCTCCTCTCGGACGCTGCCTGTAATATTTATCGCGCGACACAGTTCCTTCCAGTATCAAATCGATACGATCTCTTTTGCATTTTTTATCCTTATGACACGTGATAGACTTCCTTTTCGTTTGAAATCTTCCCGATTTAAACTTTACTTTAAATCACACAGTGTTCAACATTTCGACTTTATTTCTTCTCTGAGATTCTCCGCGAGATTTTTCAAACAATATATTATGAGCGCCGATTATTGCCTATCATTATTTAATAATTATGTCTTTATTTGTTCATTTATATCACTTCAAATTATAGTTCAACGTTTCGGCTTCGTTCTTGGGATCTTCTCGGAAATTTTCAAATTCACGTTCTCAAATAAAATCTTTCAAACGTGTATAGTTATTCGTCAGTATTTAACAATTTTTACCATATAACTTAATGTATTTACCACCTTTAGATCATAGTTAAATATACTGACTTTGTTTTTGTCATCTTCTCTGAATTCATTGCGTTCTCAAACAGCATCTTACGAACGCGGGTTGTTGTCTACTACTATTTAATAATTATACGTCTTTATTCACTGGTTTGTCACTTCTGTTGTTGGCAAAATCTCCCCTGAGATTCTTCACGTTCTCAAACATCGTGTCACAAACGCGGACTGTTATCTACCACTATTTAATAGCTAACATATCATTTTAATTTACTCATCTACTACTCACCATTGAGAACAGCTTTCCAAATCGCCAAATTCCTCACGTGGTCTGAGAGGGCATCACTCTTTTCACTGCGCGATTAAACTTATATCCGCCGATTAAACAATCGCGCACAGAATCTCCCGCGCGCACAATCACAATCACCACTGCGGAATCGGCACTTGTTCGTTCCCTATCAATATCAGCACAAATCCGCGCGGCTTTCACGAAATATTTCACCGCGCTAAGTCGCCCGCTCGTCTATCGAACCGCGATTATGCCGATTACGTCGATCATTAGCCTCATCCGCGGCGACGAGATCGCTTCTGGCAACATCTCGATCTCCGGCTTCGGCGAGATCGTCAGCGGAGGCGACGGCGGCAGAATCCCTGGTCGGAAAAACCGGGAAGAGTGAGCTTGATTACACGTTGTCGTAAGGGGACAGGGGTAGTTTCATCCCCCGTAACCACGCCCTTGGTCCCGGCGCCGCAGCCTCCCTTGTCGTCCCGTTTCCCCAGCATCCCTGACAGCATCCCTGGAGTTCGCCAATCGACGATCGAGGAACACCACGGTGAACCCGCCCCGACACCTGACGCCGCGTCGCCATTCCGCTACATTTCGTAGTAATTTTCACGTGACAGTATTTTACGGCTTGCCGGGCCGTTTTATCGATCATTCGACGTGCCGCCCGCTGAAACACGGGTTTTCGGGCAGAAGAAAAAGCTTTGGTTTTGTACTGCTGTAGATATGACGGATGAGAGCGGTTGCGTCTTGACGTCGAATGCGCGAAAAAGAACAACGTGCATGTTCCAATTTTGATTATTTTATCCTAAGCGAACCCCTTGTCCTCTCCGCCCATGTTAATGTCGAGGTCTTTCGTTTTGGACTTTGCCATTTCGCGAGTCTTTTTAATTACTGATGATCAGTATCGTCCGCCACGTACAGACGTCAATGGGACGACCATCCTTCGTCGCGACAGTGATAAAATCGAAATGTTGTTTGAGGCAAAGTGATAAGCCGCGAGTCTTAATTGAGAATATTCGACTGTATTATCAAAAGCACGGAAATACAAACTGGTTACGAGTTTTTTAATAGTCTACAATCTCACTGTCTATATCTATATTTCGTTAGTCTATATTTCACTGAATTTTTACTTCAATAAAAATGTTGCTCCTAATTCTATTGATCAGAATATATAATATTATATATATCATATTAATTATAATATAATATATATCATATTAATTGTCGCATTTGCAAGAGAGACTGAAACGCTGATTAATATATCTATTGACGATTAGGTTACTAAAGAACAAATTAATTGAATATTAATTTCTACGATAAATATCTTATAAACGACGAAAAGCTGCTTTTTAGAAGAGCATGGCTTTCGTAACTTCAATGTAATACTTCAAGCGCGCTTTCTACAAGTGAAAATGTCGAGGAAGAAGGATAGTAAACCGAGGGTGGGTTTATCGAAGCAGTATGGATTTCTTTGGAGGATCAGGTGGTAAACGGGTCACATCTGCGCCGTCCAACTATACTAATAATCACAGTCGCATCCACCATTACAAAATACTCCGATGTAAAGTCAGTAATTGTTTGTTCCACGTGTCAAAGTGTGTATCTAAAATCTTTTGTATTATGGAAGGTCGTATAATGTGATTGAAAACTTATCAGTCGCACTCTAATGAAATTTTATAGGAAGAATTTGTGCAAGAATTAATGTAATGTGTTTATAAAAGTTTGTATTATGTAGAAACAACTGAAATTAAAAGGAGAATTCGGATTTCATTTAAATTTTCAAGATAAAAAAAGAGAACGGGACAAAAAGAAATAAAAATTTGTCTCTTATTTCAACCGAATATGAATTTTATTTCAATCCAATTTTAATGTTAGTCAACTACTAACTTTTCTTTCTACCCGTCTATTCCGCTCATTTTGGAAACTACGGCAAAATCACATTTCTCTTAACATCTTTTCTCAAGTTTGCTCGCTCACGTGGCTTGAACGGGTTCGAAAAAGAACGAAGAGCAACGTCTGCACCCCTCTCATCCCTCTAAAACGCAAAAATTCCCCGCGAAACCCGTAATCATGCAAATTGGTTAATCGGACTTCAATCTATTTTCAATCCGACGGGGTGCCGCGTGCAAACAACACCCACTGCAGAAATTGTACGCGAGGGGTTTGACACGTGCGGCTGGAAGCTGCGGTGAGGAATCGTGCGCGTGTTCACAGCTACGGCCCGATTTTCTCGTTGCAATAATCAAGAAGAACGCACACGCCCCGCACGACACAACCGATTAATGCGTTCCGCGGTGGCCGAGTGGTGTCATGAGATAGTTCACACCTCGTTACTACGTTGACAGCCCTCTTCACGATCGGGTCTGTGGCGGTCGGTTCCGCTCTTTCAACTCACATTCCCCTTTAATTCGCAAAGTTCCGCCAAGCATAATGTCGCGTGTCGTTGTGATGAAAACCGTTACCGTTAGAGGGAATGTGTTATTAATCAAATCAAACAAGTATCGATCATTCCTACATTAAGACAGCACACAGCCAGCTATCGGACAGCTATCAGCGGAATTTAAATAAATGAAGTCATGCTTTGCGTCATTGGGAATAGCGTGACGTCGAATAGATAGACGTCGGTGTTTCGTGAAAAGCACAATGATAAAATATAATTAAGTCGCGCAGTTATAATTACACATACGCGCGCGAAATTAATTTTGAATTATTTAAAAATTTATTAACCCTCCACTGCCCACACTGCGACTCTGAAGTCACAATACAGATTCGTCATTATGTATATATCATCCATCTCCAATATGAATATTGTCTCCAATATGTTGTTTTGACTGATGTAACATGAAAGTCATAATATGGCTGTCTTTTTTTTATATTTTGGCAGTGATAGTAACTGCCCAACATGATCTCAGAGTCATAAGCTTATTTTGGTAAAATAAAAAATTAAAAAAGTAAAATTTTATCTTATATGTATTGAATACTTTAGTTTTAAACATCCTATATTATATATGTCCTATATATTATATATGTGTATATATATATATATATATATATATATATATATATATAAAACTTTTTAAACATGAGAAATTTATTTAGGCAGTAGAGAATTAAATTTGTTAAATTAAATTTGTTAAATTTGTTAAATTAAATTTGTTAAATTTGTTGAATTAAATTTGTTAAACGACAAGTACTGGAACGACAGTTCAATAAACAATCGATAAACATATACAGAATTCAATTCTTGCTTAAGGAACATTAAGACGACTTACGATGTCTAATGATATAATAATGTTCTAAGATGTATTTTAGATCTCTTTTGTACATATCGTGGAAGTAAGTCGCAATTCCATATATATTTTTACCAACAGCTGCCGGCTTAACATATATTCTTTCGTAAGTGCACTGCAAAAAAATACTTGAAAATTCATTTGTGGAATATAAAGTTTATTTCTGTGAAATATAAAGTTTGCTTTTGTGAAGTAATTTTTATATCCCACATACAAGTTTTTAAGTATTTTTTTTCACAGTGTATCAAAATAATCTCATGCAACAGCAGGTACCGAATTGACAGTTGTCGGTAAACGTACGCGGAATACGATGCTTAGGGGTGCGTTCTGCACAAACTTACCGAGGGTTGCTGGTCGCGGTGTCCACCGACAGATATTGGTGCAAGCTATTTTGTACAATTGTCACCAACAAACGATAATTGTTAGAGTTTATCAACTACGAGTGCGTCGAACGTAAAATTAAAACTTCTTAAATTGTGTTAATTTCTTTGCGAAAATGCGATATTTTCTTATGTTTCTTATATTTATTAATATTTCATTTCTAACTATTATGTATATATTTGTATTGATAATTGAATTTTTTGGTATATATATATATTTATATAAATTGTATACACAATCTGTCGAGATAGAGAGAGAGAGTCGATTGAATTTAATGTAATTATCTTTTTTACGGTAACGACAACTCCCTCATGGCGATATTCGCAAGACTAGGTCCGTTATCACCCTCTGAACGATATCGTTTTCGCTTGGTCTTGTTTTTCAAGTTCTTCGATAATGTCCGGAATTCTCGATGTCCGGAATTGAAAGAATCAATGTCCCTCTTGGATTGCCAAGTTCTCCAAATTCGACGCATTTCCGTTCTTACTTCGCCGTTCAGCAGACAGTAAAGCAGAGCCACGAAGGTACCCTACAAAGATAAATAGCATGAGTAAGTGTTAGTTATACGATAAAATATTGAGATATACGAACTATTCGAATCGAATCGAATCAAATTAAGTAAAATTCGATTAGATTTATATTCGAATCCCTATGATTCGAATCCAAATAATTCGAAAATTTCGAATCGAAAAGATTCGAATATGGATCGCGCACATTAGCATTAACGAAGGACTATTAAAGATATCCAGCCTTATGAGAATTAGCATGACTTGAAAAGTTTGTCATACATTAAGATTTTCCTCAAAAAATATTAAAAGAAGATAATGGCTTCTAGATAAAATCTTACCGACAACTGTCGGATCGATGTGTCGTTGCGCAGCTTCCAAGGCTGGAACTGTATTCCATACACGTTTACCGACTATATATTATATATCTCTTACCTTAAAATGAATTGATATCACATGATCGATGTTATCACTCTCATACTGAAGTCACTATTTTCATGTTGAATTCAATGATTATGTTAATTAAAAATTCTTTTAACGATTCCATTAGGATGAAATTTCATTAATTCGATTCGATTTGAATTCGAAATTAAAATCTGAGAATCGATTCGATTCGATTCGACATTAAAAATCTTTGATTCGCACATTTCTATAGAGTATGATAAAATATTACAGTACCTGGAAGGATTGAGACAACTGATCGCAAAAGAGCCAGACGAGTTCAATGTCATAGTCCCTGTAGTAGGATAATCCCAGGAACAAGACATAGTGGGCCCCGAAAAGTGGAATCAGAATCAGAGTCGACCTCGCCCACTTTCTGCATTAAAGATAAGTACGCGTGCGACTGTTTATCCGTTCGACATATAGATACTAATTAATTTGACCAAAATAAAAAGTGCAAATGTTGTTTTGTTAGTTATGTATATGTGTGTGCGTGTATAGTTCACAAATATTATATATTTATGTATCTGTCCTTTTAATATGAGAGTTTTTTATGGGAGTAAGACTTTCCCTTTTACTATCACAACTAATATACTAACTTGTATTGCATCTTCTTTTGCTGCAAATACACCGATGTCTTCAGCTTCACAAACAGCACGCGAACAATGTTCAGGAACAGCACGAAATTTAACTGTAGAAGGAAAAGAGAGCGAGCGGGAGAGGTGAGAGGGAGGGAAGAGGTGAGGCAG